GAGGGGAGGGGAAGGGGGCGAGTTAATGACACTGACCCTCACTTCCCCAACAGCTATTCAATTCAACAATAATAACGGGTCACGCAGCTGATTTATGAGGCTGGGGCTAATAATTGTCAATTGCTAATGCAAGACTGTGGAGGGAGGGGGGGGGGGCAATGCCAGTAGACTATGCGAAATAAAATATGCCTTGACCCCCACTGAGGGAGGCCAAAAAAAAATGGACAGATGATTTTTCACTCCTCCTCTTTCTGCAGAGGTTGTTATCTGTAAAAACACGATTTTCTTTTGGTGCATTAAAACATTTACAAAGAGTCTGCAGCAGCAGCAACATCCGGGACATGCTCAGGCCCCCTCCACCCTCCTGCACGGCTGCAATAAATTAATAACAAGCAAACAATGTGTCGTGGAGAGGCGGATTCAATTACTAAGTTTATTTACAGGGGGAAATCTCATGAAGGCCATTGACCAACGTTAAACAGCGCGGGGATGAAACGATGACAAGAGCCCCGATAAGAATTTAATTCCATCTCATTTCAGACGATTTTTATGAATCAAATTCTTGAACACTGGCAAGAGATTTAATGATCACATCTTTGCGAAATCTTATTTCAGAACGGGTCGATGGCATTTCTCTGCGTTAATGTCGACTTAGAGGTTGGAGTAATTTAGTAATTGATCTCTTGCCATGGCTCCCGCTCGTGCCAAGGCCGCGTTTGAGGGTAATATGTTTTCCTAATCTTATCCCTCGGAATAAGATTTTTATGTTAATCCACTGGCTGGTCTCCTGGTCACTCGGGGAAGCTCAGATAAAGGGCTCAGATGGGCCGGAGATGAGCAGGAGAGACGAGCCGTGAGTGTGCAGGAGCTGGCTGCAGCATCTGGAAGATAAAGGGATGAGTTAGTGAGAGAAAAGAGGAGAACATCACACACACTGAGGAGTCTTTAGTGACCGCACCTGTTTACATTTTTAAATGAATCATTTGTTTCTGAATAGGAGAAATAATCTTTGTCAAATTATGAAAAACAACACTTTTCTTCCTTGTTTTCTTTAGTACAGTGCGATGACTTGCTGGATAAAATGACACTTTCCTCCTCTGCATCCCCTCCTTCCATCACCACAAAAGGTGCACAGCGACCTTAAATATGTGCCAAAAACAGATAAAAGACGCATCAGGTGAAATTACGTCAAAAACCACGAAATAACAACATGACATCTGCACGCAGCCTTTTGTTTTGCACGTTTTTTTTGCTCTTTTTTTTCCAGACACAGGGAGAAGACACCGGCATCTAATTGAATTTGGCCTCTTCTCCAGATGTCACTTTCCATCTGTGCGCTTGGAAATGCGATGCGCTTTTACGCACAGACCTGGAACACTTTGAACTCAGATGTTTGAGGGTTTTTTTAATCCCTCTCTGTCACGTGTTAATAACATAAAGACAAAAAAGGCGTATGATATATTACAGAATATTATCTGTATATGATCATAAATTAATTATATGTATCTTGGATAATAGTTTAATTTTGGAGCTGTTGCAGAAAGGCCACTTTTTAGCTTTCATCCGGATGTTTTCACACTTTTTGCAGGTGAATATGAGCCCCCCTTTTATCCTCCCCGTCTATCAAATTGAGACATCAGACTAAATTGCCACGAGAGCATCCTCAAAATGAATTTTTGATCCGCTCTCGAGCCCCTCCCCTGCAACAACACACGGCCTTATTAATACGCGTTTTGATAAGCGCAGGATTTCCTCGGGCGTGAGGAGTGAGACATTGGAGGTGAAATGTGACAGCCGGGACCCTCCCCATCGCGTTCTCCCCTCGTTTTTATCCTCCTCTGTGTGTCTGCCTTTTCGGGGGAGTGGATCCATCCAATCCATCCAGAGACAATGGCATTTTGTTCCTCTTTTTTGTCACTCCTGTCGACCCGCATTCCTATATTGCTGAGCAACGATAGTGCGCACTAAATGGAGAGGAGTTCCTCCCGCAGCCCGCCTATTGTCCGGCACTTGCCAGGGGAGTTTAGGGTCTCTCGCACACATCGCATTTTGCTGATTTATTTAAGTGAAGGCATATGGTTGAAGCCCTTTATTTGCCGCATAATTACGAATTAACCACCGCTTTACTTGAATTACAGGCTCATTATGTTACTGTAAATCACTGTTTGCACCATTTGATGCAACCTGCAGCCACCAGGCCTCCTCCTGTGCAGGGTGTTTGCGGGGGTTTTGCATCATGCACAAGCTTCAGAAAATCGTTTGAATTTACTCAGACTGCAGATTTCCGCAGTTTTGATTTAAAATGATCACGTCAAAATATCAAACTGTGGCTCGTCATAGCAGCCGAAGCAGCTGAAAGAATTAAACGATGTTGAAAGTATCAAAGAGGAGGCGTTTCAATAGCTGGTGGAGGCTGGTGGAGGGACTATAGAGCACAAGAATAAAGAGCTGCTTCAGTGAAAGAAAGCGATGGCTAAAAGCTCTAATTGTATTTGCCTCGGCGAAATATCAGAAAAGACTTCTCGTTCCTTTGAGCGTTATTAGATTAATTCCCAGAGATGGTTTCTTTTCTCGCTGCCAGACGCGTGGAGGGAGGACGGTGAACCATTTGGTTCTTTGGTTTCAATAATCAAATTAACCATTTGGTACAACTTTTGGGTCCCAGCTCGTGTGTAGAAAAGGGGGGAAATAAAAAAAAAAGAAAACATTTACATAATAGGCACCGGGTTGTGTCAAGAAAGAATTAACTTTTCTTTCTTCTTCTTTTTTGGCTCTCGTTGATCTGTTGAAAAGAAAACGTGCACGAAAGAAAAGGCAGAAACACACAGAAACACGTCAGCAATTGTTGAGTAAAAAAATAATTGATGGTAAAAGGGTGCGGGGTCTTCTCTTTATTTTAACAGATCATATAGAAGCTGCACCTCGCAGCCTGAAGACTGAAGGTCAAAATGTTCAGTGTGCAAAACGAGTTTAGAGACATTTTTAAACTTACAAATCTCATCCATTCACGTTTCTTTTATTGACACGTGGAGACGATGTGGAAAGAAAGAGCAGGTCGAACCTCAGAGTTTAGAAGCGTAAATAAAAAATATTTTTAAAATCTAGATTTTAACCTGACATGAAAAGATGAATTTTACTAGTTTCACCTCCTTTAAAAAAAAACTTAAAACTATATTTCAGATGAATAATTAGAAGGTAAACTTTGTTCATAAGGCCTATCTTCTTACATCTCCTGATATGAACAAATAAATAGGCTATTTGTTTTATATTTACTAACATTTTTTTGAGTAATGATGTAAAATTAAGATCATGATGTGATGGATAAAATCAACTAAAATGAAAAAATAAAAAAAGACCAATAATAATCCTTTAATAAAACGTATCTTAATCATTTCAGAGACAAATGTTTATAATATCCAGAGTGTTTAAATGATGCTGCAGCTTCATATGATCATATAAAATCACTGCTGAGCATCTCTCAGTCCCTGCTGGATTATTACTGAGATATTTCAGATCAATAACTGAACCAGGACGAGAGATGAACACATCCAAACATCAAACACTCGTCGGCCATGTGTAATTGTTTAATTGAACCAGAATTCCTGTTGCGCCTTTTTTTGTGTCTTTCGATAGTTTAGAGTAAATAAAGCCTCAGCCGAGGACTTGAACACTGAGACACACACACACACACACACACACACACACACAACCACAACCACACACACCACACACAACGAAACGGTTCACCTTATTACACAAACCGAATTAAGCACTCAGCCAATATTGTGAGCCTGAGAGGTCCGATGACTGCCTCTCAGTTCGTTACTTTCATTAGAAAGATGTTATTCGCCAAATAAACGAAATAATGAAAGTAATGAAAGTAATAAAGACAATTACAAACTCATTTGAATCATAAAACCCACCCGGAAGTTGAGCACAGATAACACTGCAGCAGGGCAGAGAAAAGGGTCAGAAACATTGTGTTTATTTATTTAAAATAAAAAGAGGTTAAGCCTTTTATTCCATTAGAGCTGGGTCATTCGTTTATGATTTGTATTTATTTATTTAGATCATTTATAGGTTAATCTTTATTGTTTAACTTCGGTTATAGGCTAGCTGAACATGTTTGACCCAGAATAATTTTTAAAAATAATATCATAGAATAAATTATATATGTTATTAAATAATAAAAATATTATTCAACAACCTGCAGAGAGAAATGTAATGAGTCTGTTTATGAGTATAAATGGTTTTTTGTGTTTGACAGGTGTGCACACACGCGCACAAAAACACATCTGGGAGAGAAAAAAACTATCTGAACGAGCCTTTATAGTCATAGCCATGCACACACGGTATTTTCTTTTTAAAAAAAATAATATAGTAAAAGGCGAAAAAACATTTTGTTGCTGTGAAAATAAACGTCAGAACATGTTTTTTTCCTTCTTGCAAACCTTTTCCTGTGAAAGAAGAATATCTCGGAACATTTCTGGTGCAAAAACGTCATCAAAGATAGAGGAAATTAATTATTTCTGCTGATTTCTACGAGTCCTAAATGTAATTTTAAATGTTTTAGCGTAAAAACGGAAAAAATAAATCTGAAATGTTAGTTATACCTGCACAGGCACGTGCATTTCTTTGTGCTTCAGTGCAGGAGATCAGAGTAAAAAAAAAAAAAAAAGATCATGCAGAAAAGAGTCGGAGCAGACGGGCAGAGAGAGGAAGGCAGAGGGGGAATACTATGTGAAATCCTGCCCAAGGTATACGGTCGCTTAAAAGGCTTAAAAGCTTGGAGAAAATTGGATCAGGGAGAATCGTCACCCAACTTTCATTATTTCCAAGTGGTGTGATTGAATTAAAGGGCAAGATGGTGGTTGGAGAGGAGTGGGGTGGATGGGGTGGAGGAGCGGCGGTGGTGGTGGAGGGGCTGCGTAATGGCGTGGTATTAAATTCTAATTAGAGATGCAGGGGATCAATGATAGGGAGGTTGGACAGCCCGGGCCCCCAGTGCCAGCCCAATAGACTGATGAGTTATTGTCATGTAAAAAAGCGCTAGCAATAAGACCAAACGCTTTGCTATTGTCCAAGCGGAAAGAGCCAAGTTTATTATGAGGACTATATGCTCTAGAGACCTCGGGCTAGGCGGCTCTTAGGGGGCTTTTCATAAAACAGGGCTAGGTTCCTATAAAGGAGGCCAGTTTTGGAGCAGGCGCTGAGCAGTGAACATCTACCCACCGTCCAGCCTCTTTTTTTTTCCAACCAGTTCAAACCAAACAAGTCCTCTCTGCCCCCCCAGTTCAGACCGCGCGTCCTCCTCACTTTGGTATTTATTATTTTTTTTACTTCCTAACCCATTTTTTTTTTTGGGTGGTAGTTTTTGTTTTTTGTTTTCCCGGGAAGTGCAGCTTTCTAACTCAACCGAGCCTTCTCAAATGTATAAAATGGAGTATTCTTACCTAAATTCCTCTGCCTACGAGTCATGTATGGCCGGGATGGACACCTCGAGCTTGGCATCGGCCTACGCGGACTTCAGTTCGTGCAGCCAGGCCAGCGGGTTTCAGTACAATCCCATCAGGACCACTTTCGGGGCCACCTCCGGCTGTCCGTCTCTCACGCCGGGCTCCTGCAGCCTGGGGACCCTACGGACCACCAGAGCAGCCCGTACGCCGAGGTAAGCAGCGAGCTCCGGAAGCCTCAAACCCCGCCGTATTATAGGACGTCTTGATTGCATTTGAAAATGGAAATGTGTTTAGTATTTACCAAACGAAATTTGCTTACACAAATGAAAGAATTTATCACGTTAGAAGCGATTGCAGGCAAGCGGTAATTCGGTTACGGGGTTATACTATCCCAGTCACACCCAAAAACCGCCAACAGAATTATCTTAAGCTGCCAAAATGATCGGCATAATTTATTTACTTTGCGATGAGACATAAAGCTTCGGAAATAATTAGATAACCAAAGACTAAAGCTCATTATTGACACCGAATTGGAGTTACAGTAGCAACACGCAGGGGCGGATGGGAACATTATGACAAGTTTTCAAACTTGAGCCTCAATCTGAGGAGCAACAATTAGTTTAACATTACAATTAACCGCATCACAGGTCAGCAGCGTTATCAATTCTGAAGTAATTCACAGGTAATCAGAGGCTTAATACGATTGGAAGCTTTAGCCCAGCATCCGTAACCGGATTTTATACAAAATATCGAATTTGGACTTTCACTTCCATCAGACAACATCACGATTACACACACTTATATCTGCTGCCATTGCACCCTATAACAGTGCCTTTTCTATTTTCTTCACAGTTCCCTACAAACTGTTCACGGATCACGGCGGACTGAACGAGAAGAGGAAGCAGAGGCGCATCCGGACCACGTTCACCAGCGCCCAGCTGAAGGAGCTCGAGAGGGTTTTTGCTGAAACGCACTACCCGGATATCTACACCAGAGAGGAGCTGGCACT